TCAAATCCTAATGCTGTCATTATACCTTCCAAAGTTTCAACGTCTAGTTTTACTGGTAATAAGCTTTCTATTCCTGGGTGTTGTAGTTTATTAATTAGAAATGGTAAATCTTTAATTGTGAATTTCTCATCACTGAGTGTGGATCATCTACGCTAGGTCTGGAAAATTTTAGAATGTTTTAGGGTCAGATTCCCTCACTGATCACTGGAATTGTTTCTAATGAAGTGTTTGATAACTTGCTAACTACGGGATGGAAGTGAGAAAAATTTCACACGACTCTAAAATTCCCTCATTCTTACGTGTGAGCAAGAAATTCCAAAACCTTGAAAACAAAAGTCACTTTTACTACTGCTGCAAACTTGAAAGGCCTAGAGAGAAAAGCAGTGTAGAAGTGCTTGACCGTACACGAAAGAAACAATGATGAATTAGCTCGAACAGAAAATCTTCGTAAAAGAACTCCGTTTCTACAATCAATGAAAGGTCGACTAAAATAGGTCAATAAGTCTATGGTACATATGCAAGCCACTCACAATGAACGAATACGGTACAAGAAACTAGGTGAGTCTGTTACAATTTCGATTCTTAATTGTAATACCAATTAGTATATTCTAGATCTTACGGAGTCTAAATTCACCACACAATCGAACAGACACATGACAAGCAAAAGTTCGGATTCCCATTTAGGCTATGGCGGATGTGGTATTTGTGCGAACTAATAATTCCGATGAGACTACAACTTATAGGTGACCTTTGACAGACGCTAAACTGTTCTTGGGAGTTCCCACCTAACATCTAGGGCTAAATAAGGGTTATAAACCTGTGTAGGGAGTTATAATTATGTTTTGCAGTCGGCGATTAAAGTTAGGGATTAGATTTAGGGTTTTCATCACGAACTGACATCAGCTATAATGCCAAAACTCTATTTAGCCAAATGGATGATTGAATTTCGCGCCAAAATTTGAGAGCCGTTATCTTGTACATGATTATTTTGTCCATAGATTAAAGTCTCTCCATGATTCCTTTGTACTTGATTGCCAGTTGATTATGAATTCCAAATACAAAACGTTCATTTGTGCTCATCTAGTTCTGTCTCTATCTTCTACACAAATACAGAAATAAAGCCATATGGGTCCCACCGGATAATATCACACAACCACATCGATCATATTTGCATCACTCACCAATTCGGAAAGTCAATGGAAGGTGTGAGAACAAAGAGAGGGGCTGGCATAGCTGCAGATCACCACCTGGTTGTTGTCAAGATGAAACTAAAGCTAAAGAAACACTGGACAAACAGCACTACAAAGTTTTAATACATTTTTCCTTCAACATACTGACAGGCTCAACGAATTTAAGGTACATCTGAACAAAAGGTTCCAGGCCTTACAAGATCTACTGAAAGAAAAAGGAACTTCTATAGAGGTCAATTGGCAAAGGATCAAGGATACACTAGTTTCAGCGTGTCAGGAGGTTCTGGGCCTCAAGAAACATCATCATAAGGAATGGATCCATATCAAAACCCTGGACAAGATTCAATAAAAAGGAAGTCAGCAATTGACAACAGCCTATCAGGGCCGGTCAAGGACAAAAAGGGTAAGTCAGTCACTGAAATTCAGGAACATGGACAAGTGCCATCAACAGACTGGAAAGAAGGATGACTAATCAAAATACCAAAGAAAGGATATCTGAGCAAACGTGAAGACTACAGAGGCATCACACTATTCTTAGTGCCAGGAGACATCTTCAGCAGTGTTACTAAACCGGATGAAAGATTGAGTAGATGTCCAGCTTACAGATCAGAAGACCGGATTTCCTAAGGATCGGTTGTGTACAGCTCAAATGGCGACACTACGGATCATTGTCCAATAATCGCTTAGTGGAATTCGGCATTGCACATCAACTTCCCTGACTAGAAGGAAGAGTTTGAAAGAGTGAATAGGAGAATATTATGGGACCTCCAACTTTAGTGTGAGTAGTAGAGAAAATAGTTAACATCATTTGGAATTCATACTGCAAAGTCGTTCATGGAGGACAGCTGACAAATTCATCCTAAGTAAAGACTGGTATTGTGGTGTGTGCTACTTATATTGATATAAGTAGTATGTGACGCGAGCTAAAAAACTTACTGTCTGGCAGCAGAAGATGGGGAAAGATCAATAAAGGAAGAGCGGGAACACAATGCAATTTGCAAATTAACGATTTGCTATATGGTTTTTCTATTTTACCAAGTAACTCTGTAATTTTGTGCTAAATACAATTCGGTTGTCCCCACCCGTGTTCTGTTCACTACAGTATCAGATAAGGCTGCTTACTCTCTCCCTTTCTTTTTCTTCTGGTGATTTATTGGTTAATGAAAACTTCCACATTTCAGTAAAAGCATGAAATACAATGGATAGCTCGGATGGAACTAGACGATTTGGACTTCGCAAATCACCTAGCCTTCTATCTTATACACACAAACAAATACAGGTCATGACAACCAGTTTGGTAAAAGCCCTGCATCACTAAGCCCAACATAAAAAAGGGGAAAATCAAGATCTAGAAACAAAACAGAGAACATTGATCAAATCATACTTGACGGAGAAACTCTGGAAGAGGTGGAATCTTTCACATACCTGGTGAGCATCATCGATGAACAAGGTAGATTCACTGCGGATGTCAAGGTAATGATTGTCAAAGTAATGGCAGCATTCTTACAGTTGAAGAACATGTGGAACTCAAAATGACTGTCAGCCAACATCAAAGGCGCAATCTTCAACACGGACGTCAAGAGAGTCCTACTTGGAGAACTACCACAACCATCATAAAAAAAGTATAAGTATTTATAAGCAACTGTCTACGTAAGATAATCAATTTCCATTGACTGGATACCATCAGCAATAGCTTACTATGGGAGAGAACAAACCAGCTTCCAGCTGAGGAGGAAGTTAGAAAAAGGTGATGGAGATGGGTAGGATATACATTTCGGAAGTCATCAAACTACATCACGAGGCAAGCATTCACTTGGAATCCTGAAGGCAAAGAGAAATAAGGGAGACGAAAGAACACACTGCACTGGGAATCCGAAGCTGACATCAAAAGGATGAATAACAACTAGAAACAACTGGAAAGGAGAGTGGAGTACAGATTTGGATGGAGAATACTGGTGGGCGACCTATGCTCGTCAACGAGGGCTAACAGGAGCAATGAAGTAAGTTATGTCTGGCTTAAATTGGACTGTTTCAGGAACTTCTGGTTAGTACATTGATTCGAATACTCTAAACTTCACATGTATATTCGGTTCCAAAGGTTTTGCAATTGAGAACCAATACCAACGCAAGTTTACTGTTTCTGGAGACTTAGCGGAGCCTGTTAGGCGATGACATTAGTTGAGAGTTTTTCAGGTCGCGTTTACTCAGAATTCGAGTCTGCCACTTTGGTACTCTTCATCTGAGAATTCATAAAATGCAATCATTTCCTGACCAGAAGCATTATATTATCAGTCTCTGGACTATGACACTAAGCCAATCACAAAGAGAAAAAATTGATGGAAATTTCTTCGTCTTCTGATCATTTAAAGGTAATTTTAATCCCATCCACATGAACTGCTATCATTAACGCCCTTTCTAAAGTGAACACAGTGTAAAATTACTATTTATGGTTCTAAGTCTTAGCCTCCTGTCAACGTAGGAGTAAATGTAAAAGTTTGCACACTGGGTGCACACAATCTGACTGTCCACATGAAACACAACCATGAAGCATAGTAATCGTTTTGATAGTCTTTGAAAGTGTTATATTTATTAGATGAGGCAACCCACCCTCCTAGTTTCCTACTAAACCAAAGTTTTTGAACTAAGGAATACAAATGTCAAAAATTTGCAACTAATTCCTACACCGATAAAATATCAGTGATAAAGCAGTTTATTCGATTTCCGTTTAAGTTATTTCTTATTGATTCACATAACAATGTTTTTGTTCCAGCATACAAATTTTTTTAAACTTTTAACATCGACTTGTGGGAAGTAAACAGTTTCTAAACTTGAGTTTATTCGGTTCAATTACGTGAAGAAGTGTTTTTAAGTAATCAGTGTGAGGATTTGTGGAAATTGTAGTATTTTAACCGTTGGGACTCCTCAGAAGTGCACACCCACGACTCCATACACAGGGCTCAAACCAAGGACCTTGATGAGAACGCTTAACATTAAGACCCCTGAGCCGGCATCCAACGGTATTAATGTCTAACTTCAATCAATCCATGATCTCGCGTAACCTTTCATCCATTGTCTGAGGTGGATAACCGTCTCACACCCGACACGAATTTGATCCCATTGGTTAAGGCTTCTCACTAAAACTACGAGAAATCCATCTTGAGACATGATTGTTATCAGTATAGGGATTTGTGGAGATTGACTGAAGTTAGACATCAGCACCGTTCGATGCCGACTCAGTGGTTTAGAGGTTAAGTGTTCGCACGTGACACCTAAGGTCCTGGGTTTGAACCCCGTGTGCGGGGTCGTGGGTAAGCACTTTTGAGAAGTCCTGTACTCGGACAGAACGGCCATCCAAGTTATCACTGGTGGTCTCTCTTAGATGGACTCGTGAATTCAACTTTTTGAATAATATTAATTGGCAGAGTTTTATTAATATACTTTTCTATCTGATCCAGATTCCTAATTTACTCCACGAATAATTATATTTCCTTTTTTGTGAATATCAATTATGAGTGTACTATGAAAATGTACCATCTAATACGAATAAAATGATACGAACATAATTACATGAAATAATTACCTATAAAATTAGTTTAGGAAGGGTGAAAGGATTATCAGCAGTCAGATAACACAATATCAATGAAAAGTAACGCCAATAATTCACTTGTTTTTCGTTTAAGATATGATAAATTGAAAACAGTTAATAATTATTCTTATGCGTAGAATCTTAAAAATTGTATATACTATTCTGTCCAATACATACGAGAACTCCGGTCATAAAATAACTCTTTATATAGCTATTTTATATAACTATTATCTTATTTAAAATACTAATTTGTAGCAATACATTTATGTCTTTCTTCTGATCAAAGTACTTGGAATTTTCCAGAAGTCATGATTTCTAACTATTCAATCAACAATAAAATTCTGGTGAAACTTTAATAGAAATGCTCAGGAATTTCATGAAATGTTGAGTGCTGTTATTGATAACAGTGCGCTGAAGGTAATGGGTCTTTCAAGTAAATTAAAAACTTCATCAAAGATGGTGAAAACTGAATGGAAAATATGCAGTCACGGGAACTGTAAAAGTAGTAATAAAAGAGCCTGGTTTTCAGGTATTCTAAGGATATTTTGAAATTTGGGAATGGGAGCAAGGTTACTGTCACAAATATGGCATATTATTAGATGATGTACCGTAATTATCATAAAACAATGTTCTTCTAATAGTGAATATTTTGAACCTTGTAGTATTAGTAGTTTTTGTGATTGTAGGTTATTGTATTCGGATAAACGCAAGCAACAAATTTTCCGGCATTAAACAAAGAATCAACTCAACACCTTACTGTTTATTTAGATAATTAACAGGTGTATCTATAGCTTCGGTACACTTGCCATAGTTGCTACGCCACACATGTTATTATAATTACGACGTATTCTTACATAACCATCTTCTCCCCATGATGTCCCCAACTATTTTTAATAATCCAGTATTGTACACCGTTTTCTTCTCCATATCCAACTATCAGAACTGCATGATTAACTTCTGTAGACGAACAAGACTGGGATTGATATATGCCGTTCCTAAAAAGAGATAAAAATTACCTCCTTAATAGACGTTAATTAAAAATAATTTCTCAAAGTCCTGCTGAACTTTAAATTTAAAAATCGACTATGTTTTTTTTCAATTACCTAAGATTCCCAAAGTAATATATTAATTGTAATTTTCAGTTTATTTTTCAAGGAAGTAGAGCAGTAACGCATTATGGGTCGACATGAAGATGATAATATCATTTTTAAACAAACAATCATATCTTTCTCACTCGAATTGATCATGCGCTCTCAGTGAATTTAATGAAGATAGTTATGCTTATATTGTCCGAATTAGGGAAATAACAGAGTCTCTTGGTAAAATATGATATCCACACACTGAATATTTCATCTGCAAACTTCCATCATATGTCCTTCATATTCCGTATGGTTCTTCAGTTCATAATTCGTTTCTATTTCCCTTTATGTTCTCTTAAACTCGATCATCTTAGCCTTCTGCTTCCAGGTTTTCCACTTCGGATTAGTGTTACATACTACTTATATCGATAGATATAAGTAACATGCATCACAAAAGCTTAAAATAATTCAACGTAGGCACATCTGCAGCAGTTTACTTTGTATTTTATCAAATCAAGCATGAACTCTATGTTCATGTGCAATATGTTTATACCCTTATTCTACTATGGTCCTAATGCATAATTTTTCTTACATTGGAATATGTCATTATCAAATGCTTTTTCTTGTTTTAGGTTTTTTCTAAATTAACTACATATAAAATGACTCATATTTCTCATGTATTAACCATTTTAATCTTATGATTTCCTATTATCTTCAAGCCACTATAGAATCATTTTTTCTTAGAAAACAATAGTCGGTTCGATGAGAATATTTAATAACTTCTTAACTGTAACATACTTTATAGTAAGTTGAAGTTATGTTGAGAATTTCCTCTTTTCCTTATGTGTAGGTTTTCGGAAAGATTCTTCTCATCAAATTAAGTCAATAAACTGTTTTAACACTTACGTTGGAAACTGTAAGGTTATTGTACATTGATTATACATTACTGTAAATTGCTGTTGAAGTTGCTACTATAGCTTACTGACACTCTCATTTGATGCTGAGGTCACTTACTCAGTCAATCATTTACAACGTAGGACCGGGCACATATATGCATTGGTCCAAGTTGTCATACCTCAATAGCACAACAAGATGAACATCAAATTAATAGAAGCAATTACTTCAATGGTAGTAATGTATAAGAGAAAGGTTGTGTATAAGGATATGGTACGGGAAGAAATAATTAGTTCGTAGAAAGAAATGTATAAAGTAATTTTAATCTCACGGTTTAAGGGAAGACAAAGAGTGTATACACCGACACGTTTGTGAAATATTCTGACTCATGTCACCCAGAGTCTCCAACCATTGATTACGATAGTAACGTGGACTCCAACCAAGTAGTCTGCATCTACCAACGTGGCGAAAACCAGAAGTTAGTGACTTCAAGCACTGACGTCACGTTTTGGTTTGGCCGCCCCTAACTTTTTCCTAACTATCTCCATCACTAGTCAGCCTTGCGCGTCGTGGTAATCGGTTTTCAGGTGTACGTAACACGTAGCTCAACCATCTCAGTCGGTGAAGATTCACAACCTCACCAACTGATTTACCATGATTCTCTAATATTCTGCGTCTAACCTCATTATTACTTACCCGGTGATCCCATCAGATGCGAGCAATATTTCTAAGACATCTGTGATCGAATACTAGTAGTCTACGAGTATCTCTTACTTTTAATGATCGCGTTTCGCAGTCGTAAAGTAGAACAGAACGAACTGCCGTACAGCATACTCGTCCCTTAATTGACAGACGGATATCTCTCCTTCGCCATAGGTGAAATAAATTAGCAAAAGCCAAACAAGCTTTTTGAATCCATGCAGAAATTTCGTCAGAGACTAACGCATTTGGGCTGATCAGACTTCCAAGATAGGTAATTTCAAGTCACTAAGCCTTAATTGCTTCGAATATACCGTCATGTAGATTATAATGGTTAGTCACTATTGTCTCAGTCTTCAGATGATAATACCTAGTGTTCTGAAGTATCGTCACATTTCATTAGTCAATTTGTCTATAAAACGCCTTGCCTTCTTATCATTCAAAAACATTTTACAAATTTATTTTTTCATTAAAGATAAAACAACATGGATAATTTTAATTTAATGATTATCCATTGACTGTTTGTATGAATTGCTTAGATTCATCCAATATTTACTGACATCTTTTCTCATTCTATTTAACTATATAAAAATAGCCTGCAAAGACTTACTTGTATCTCATAAATTGTTGCTCTACGTTTATGCCAGCTGAAACTGGTCCATGTTCATATAGAACATATTTCAACTGTTCTTCATCATTGAGTTTAATCTCTATAATTGATTTAGAGTAGGTTAATGATGATGATTTAATATGTTGACATTTACCTTCCTAAAATGTGAATAACAAAACAACATTATATATTTATTTTAAATTCATTTCATATAAGATGTTTATGATATGCATTTACGGGATCTTCAAATACAAACCAACCAAATGAGCAGTAAAATGATTTTTCATAATCCAAAATTACCATAATAACTGTGTATTAGTCAAAATTATGTATTTTTTTGTCAAACTATTCATTCAAATATTGATCAATATTCGTAATAACCATTTATTAGTTTTAGAAATCTGTAAAGCAGTATGCCAAACTGTCACTTACAAATGTCGTCCCAGAGAATTCCACGTCGCGCATTATTTGCCAACTTTGGGACTGGTTGGAAAAAGTGGAGAGGTGGTCAGTGTATGACGTGGTGTCGTGGTATGAAAGAAATCTACAAAGGGCTGGCTTGTGTTGGTCCTTCACGACTCCCTGGTTGGGGTCCGAGAGATGGTGCAACACAGTGGCTAGAGACGTTATCAGATATGGCTCAGAATAGAAGCCAGTGGCGATCCTGCTGTAACCTTTTACTTTCTTCATAAAAGGTGGTTGCTTCTTCCTTAACTGAAAGATTTATTTTGATTGTACCTTTTCGTTTCCCCCATTATTATTATTATTATTACGCTACCTTACCTTATTCTGTTCATCATTGTTCTTTTTTTACGCTCCTCCCCTTTTTTCCTTCTCCTCTTCAAATTCCCATTGTTTTGTGTGGCGCATATATATTTGGTGCCTCTTGTACCAATATTAATGTGTTCAAATAATAATAATAATACACTTACATAAAGAAAGGTAGTTGCTTGATAAATCATATGTTTATACTTCGGTAAAGTATAAGACTTGGCTAGATGAGAAGTGAAGACGAATATACTGATGCAAGGGAATGTAGTTGTATTTAAGTGGTGGAGACTTGTTTATCTAGTTAGATTAAATGATCATCTTGCCATGTTGTGCTTCGCTAACCAACAGTTGTCCATTTAATGAACTACTTACTTGGTTGGGAAAATGAGTTTCTGTATAAAAGATTAAAGTTGAATTCCGAACAAGTATTTGATGATTTCCCACGGTAAATTGAAACAAAGCATTTAGACTTACACGAAACTTAAGCGCTTTAATGATATGTGTAGGCTCTGCGTAACAGGAATAATTTTAATACTCATCAGCTAAAGACACAAAATCTGGTCAGTTTTGCACAACCTTGTAACCGATTTATATTTAAGAGGTAAAATACACAAAGACTGAACTACCACACGAAATATATATATATATATATATATATATATATATATCTGGTTGGTTGAAGTGTAAACGATTCACTTTCGAAATTACTTCAAAATATAGTGTCTGACCTCTACCAGAAATTCACTCAAGTCAAATGCCTTGAATGACTAAATTCAATGAGGCAAAAACACTGTTCTACATTTCATAGTCGATGGTAGTATAGTTTAAGACGCTATTAGAACCTGAATACGACTTGTTCTTCTGGAATTGAAATTTATCATTGAAGCTTTAAAGTTTAAACTAAACGTCAAAAATTTATCAGTAAAAGAAAGTTTATTTGCTGAGAATATTAAACATAGTTCCATTTCGTATTAATAATAGCTGATAGAAAATAATTTCATATTCCTGATATGGTTCATTACAATTCACGACGTCTCCCAACATTTATTTTATAATGGAATCTAATTTAACTATTTTTCTATAAACCTACTTGAAAAAGATAAATTCATTACTTAAATGTATCGCTCAGTAGAATAATATTGTTATGCTTATATTGTGTGAGTAAAAAGCCAATTTAGATAAAGTGACATGGTAGGAAATAGTTCCAAACATAGAATTACGGTGATTTTACAGTAGTTAATGCGGAGTCAAAGGCTTATAATGAAGAGCGTTGCCAAACTGATACAATCGTAGTTGTTGTATGAAATTGAAAATAAGATATGTAACAGATAGCAAACTAACTTTTCATCTTAATCTCGGCATATTGTTAAAGCATGCAGTGTTTATGGGAATTCTTCAGTGTTACTTGTAATTTCACTTTTTGGATCAATGTCGAGAATAGCCTTTGAAGGGCTATATATATATGATGGGTGTGTCAAGGCACTTCAAAGTATTTTGGTCGGTGAGACTTTTAAGGTAGATAATGGTCTTCAAGTTTTTATTTACTTGATGTTATACTGATATGCTGAAGTCATCTGGACGAATATTAGTTACAACTCGGAAAGTGAGTTGAATGTGTCTCAGTATCCTGTCGACTAACCAAACTTTACATCGGAGAGATGGCCATCGCTTTTAAGCAGGGATGGATGATATCTAGCAATGGGGTCCAAGACACATGCCTTATCCTGTTTGGGACTCTTCAGCCGGATGTTCTCTATCCTAAGGCCGATGTTCAGTCTGACACTAAAACATAGTATCGTTCGCTTCACCCCACCACAAATGCTGCTGGCTTTATAGACCCAGTAGTTACGTGGATAACGCGATGGCATTTTAAGCCAATGATAGTGGGTTCGAGTGTCGAAGTGAACATCTGCCCGTACAGAAGTACTTCCAGCTGACGAATCCCAAATAAGACGAAACGTGCGTCCTAGATTCCACTGTTAGCCAACATCCATCTTTGCTTATAATGCTTGTGACTTAAAGCAATATCAAGGTAATCCGCACAGGGTGCACATATGTCAATAATAGTCTGATCAACTTCAGTTCTTAACATCAAACAAACAATACAAAAACTGAATTAAAACTGTACTTATTTCAACAACAAAAAATAAAGTTAAAAACATTGCCCTCATTAAGAGATTTAAAAGCTTACATTGACTATTAAACAAAGTACTTTGAAATAAGCTATTTTTAGAATTGTTAACCTGAAAGTAGATTTGTTAAGATTATATCCTATTCAGTACATGTTTTGTTTTAATATAGGCGTGACCTATTTATTACCTATTTACTACCAAGAAAAAAACATTACAAAATGAAATCATAAATATGGTTATACTAGATGGTAGTTGTTTAATCTGGATATATGAGTTTTAATAAATACTAGTAGAACTCTGATTTTAGAACTCGATGTTATAAGTAGTATGTTTAACAATAATAATAATTAAAGTAATAAAAGAAAATATATAGTATATCGAGATGGTGAAGATTTATAACTCAGGTGGATGATTTGATGGAGTTCACCTCAGAGAGCAAAAATCCATCAAAATATATATTGTATTTCATTTTATCATTGATTTACTTAGAATAAAATGTAAACATTAGTTACATACTGAGTTACGCAAAGATAAAAAAAATTCTTAATTTGTATTATTATATTGAATTGTAAAATTTAGAAATAAATTTAAATTGACTACTCTTGCTGGGGCACATCTATATAGAATAGTACAAAGGAAATAGGATGTGTAAAATAAATTTTCGAACTTAGTTTTATGTAGTACAGCCCCACCAATCAGGTAAGAGTTCCGTAGTGAGTAGAATAAAAAAAAAGATTAATTCATAAATTACTAACTAGATGAGTAACTATGACTCTCTTAAGGTAGCTAAATACCTCGTCATCTAAGGTTTTTCGGGGCGGATCCTTATGAACGACGAATTCTAGAGTTTATACATACCTTGAACCCTAGATCCTCAAGAGTGATATGTGCATTTATTACAACTCTGGACAACTGATTTACAGTACGTAGTTCTTTAGAGGATGACAGTGGCTGTGGTGGCTACCTCAGAGTGGTTCTTGCCAGGCACGCGGTACCCTTGTAATGTCGTCGATGCCCTGTAACAAAAAGGGACTTGAGCTGTTATGTATCCGGGTGGTGCTTGCCGTAGAAATGTATATGAGTGCTTTCGGCTATATTTGACTTCCACTCACCTGCATTGGCTTATTGGTCTGTTGTGGTTTATGGAGTATGGTGGCCACCCCGTCAGGCTGGGTACGTGAAGTCGGCCTCATGCTAAAATGTGCGTTCTAGAGTTCCCTCTTGTGGCTAGATCGATCCTCTAGCCTAATTTGGATTCTCGAGCGATTCAGCTGGCTTCACAAAGATGGCGGGGACTATAGGCTGTCGGCTGCTATGACAAGCGGCTAGCGCATGGCTTGGCTACCTATGCCGGATCCTAGTAATGGCTAGACTCTCCTTCTTTGCTGCCGTTGACGATTGGAATGTGGGCAGTGGTCTGGTTCTGAGGGATCTGGTTGGTTCTCAAGGCACCCGGATAGAGATGCTTCTTTGCGTGATCTCCGATATAATGTACGTTGGTCATAGGGACAAAACCACTCAACATGTATTTTCCTTACGGTGAGGGGGAGTTCGAGCAACTGGAACACCGTGTAACTCCTTGTGTTGTGAAAATGAAAGTAATAGTGGTCATTACGTAACACGAATAACAAGGTTATCATATTAATAACGACAATAATTCAGTTAAGATATACTAATGACATTTGATCTGATAAACACCATTTACAATAGTATCAAGTTCATTAAAGTGATGGGAGCTGTTAACTGCTAACTGGTGTTTCTTGATTGTTGATATACAAACTAGTGTCTATCAAAAATTGATAGGATTAGAGAAATAAATAGATTTCAAGTAAATGCATGATCTATCTAAGTAGATCATAGTTGCTTAAAATCTGATAAACATATATCACCAGCTTTTCATGGAGATAAACGACAAACAGGTTAAATTAGACTTGGTTATATCTGTATTCAGAGTAAACAATGAACTTAAAGTGTTTGTAAAAAACGTAACTATAAGTGAAAGCAAAATGAAATGGAGATGTATACCCGAGAGTTCAATTTCGCACTGTAGTCATATCTTAACGTTAACAAACAACAGAGAAAATTAGAATGATTCAAAATAGATGTGATATAGAGGTTGATTTTCCTACCAATAACAACATTAGATTTACAGTGGTAAATACCGGAAATGTGATTCCAAAAAAGAAATTCCCTTATTTAATACTAAAGCATATAATCAAATGAATATCAGGGTGAAGGACACAATTACTGTTTGG